TCCTCCTGGGCAAATACCAAGGTTGCCATGACCGATGAGGCTAGGCCCTTTCTTTTGATGTCATCTGGGACATCAAGTGGTGTTTCTATCAATAGTTGGCGCTTCTTTAAGAGCAGCTGGATGCTTTTCTTTCTTAAGTTTTGGAGTTTGAGGCCGACGTGGAGGATTTCTGGAAGGATATGCAGGCCTTCCACCCTCATGCCCGTCGTACTGTGTTGAAGTTCTATGATGACAGAGTGCAAATCATTGTTTGTAGTTTGAGATGGTCCTGAAGAGGCGGCCGCTGCGTCGTCCAATCTCGCTGTTTGTCTCGTTCTCCTGGTTGAGACTGCGGGTCTACCTGTTCCCTCCATTATCACAACGCCGCCCGGGGAGAGGGTTCAGGAATGATATGCACCAACTGTAAAAGATCGCCAGAGCATGAGTCTCCTTGAGTTGATGCTGGACTATCAATCCGATAAGACATTGGGCCGCAGGGTATAGACATTTGGAGGGCGGTGAGGCTGCTGCCTAAATTTGCCGGGACTGGCTAGCCTCAACGGCACCTAGACCCGAGAGTGAAGTCAAAGTAGATATCAAACATTATTGGCTTGTATTGTAAATTAAGAACGTGGCTAATGTTTTATCAACCATCAACCTGCTTCTCTGTCCATTCGCTGATAAGGTTCTTGTAGTCCTCTGGGCCGTACGGTTCAGATGCCTCCGCAATCATGCCATTCTTTCTGTACACCTTCAACCCCAGATCGCCCACAAGCTGGTCGATATATGGCACAGCATCAAAAACAAAGTCTGGGAACTTGTCCCCGTGCCCGGCGGGGTATCTCCACTTACAGAACCGACTGTGAAGTGCAGTCTCGTACCGCAGCTTTTCCATCGTCTCAGCACTTGTTGTGGCCTCGGTAACCGAGGGCATCTGGTCATGTAAGTAGGCGTCGATCCATAATGACTGCACGTGGGAGATCATCGCCACGGTGAAGTTCATCAAAACGCCCGCGAACGCAATGTCGCGGTGCGCCAGCAGCTTGGCCGACGGCGGTACCATGAAGCGATGGAGCACGTACGGCGTGAGGGGCGTATACGGGTTGACGGCCTCTTTTGTCGAGATGCCTTCGTCCTCGACTAGTGGCTTTAGCTTCTTGTTCTGGACAGGCTGATCCTTGAGACGCGGCCATCTTTCAAAAATCTCCTTGTCGATAGTCTCAATCATCTCGGCGGGTGGAAAACTCTCCGCAGAAGGCTTGTGTGGGAGACCGAGTTCCTTGTCGATGCCTTCAGGGAGAAACTTGATAGGTTGGAACTGCTTCCAGCCGGTTGCGCAACAGAGAGCATCTGATACCAGGGAAGAGCCGTCGGAAAGGTGAACGGTGCCTGGCGATAGCTTAACCAGATCGGCAATGTGCACTTTAACCGTGCCGTTGCGGATGAGATCGAAGAAGTCCGTCTCGTAGTTTAGAATAGAGAAGCTGGAGGCCGTGAACATGGCCTCGCTCCACGGCTTCAGCTTCTTCAGCTCCGGGTCTGACTCGAATTTATTCAGGGTGATGACGTCGTTGCCGAGGACGCTCCAGAAGTTGTTGGTGATGCCACGGCCGATAGCCGTGCCGTGATAAAAGTTCCTCGTCTTGACGTACCCGTCGGCGTCGCCCCATGAACAGGGACTGAACCATGTGAGGGCGCGTGTATGAACGAGCTTCTCGAGCCACTTCTTCAAGGGCGTGACGTATGGGGGCGCCATCCATACTGGACCATGTCCGGATTCTACATCCTGTCAGCATTAGTGTAATGATTATGAGGTGGTCATCTCAAGATACCTCTAATCACCCAGTTCACCGCAATGCCCTTAATCGCGTAGGCATACACGAGATCCCATGCTGATTTGGTACCACCAAACACCGTCACGGATTTTGCTGATTCGAGAGTGTCTGCATGCTGAAGAAAGTCTTTGCCATGGAAAATGGGGGCCTGAAACGTCTGTTGGCCTTTGAAATCGGGCAGAAAGGCTTCTGAAGTGAGGCCAGTTGCAACGACCAGCTTCTTTGCGAGAACCTGGATCTCGCCGCCGTCCTTGCCGTTCACAAGCGTCAGGACCCAGCCACCGCTCTCTTGATGCTCTGCCGAGAGAAGCTTGTGCTGGAAGCGAATCTTGTCGAAAATGCCAAAGGTCTCTGCGTACTTTGTCAGATAGTCATGTAGGACTTGGCCGGGAATGTGATCTCCGGGTAAGATGCCGAAGGTCTCGGGGTCCATGGGGAAGTCGGGGTACTCGTAGGTCCCGAGCATGTTGTTGCTCTTCAGCCCCGGGTAGAGACGGTGCTCGGCCCATACTCCGCCGGCGGTCGAGGCTTGCTCGAAGAGTGCCAGCGAGTTGTGGGGATGGAGCTGGTGGTGAGTCTTGGCAGCCGCTAGACCGCACCATCCTACAGACGCGGCTTCAGATTGTGACCTTCGGTAAGGATTTAGGGGGATATTACTCACCGGCTCCGATGACGACAAAATCTAGAGTCGTCATTGTGTAGATTCCGGGCCCCCGAGGTCGATGCTACTGAGACAATTGGACAAAGTATTTTTCGAGGCGTTTATTTCGAGGCGAAGATCCCACCGGTGCGGGAAAAGGGTTGGGCCAGCCTTCCTCTCATCCTGATTTGCGGATAAGCACTAGAATTCTGTCAAAAACCCTGGCCTGCAGACGAATATGGGAAGATTGGGTCCTTCTTGACCAGCTGCATTGATGATTGATCTGGCGTTGGTTGGTCTTCTGGCATCTGCATCCTTCGTGGATTTGGGTACCATATCCGAAAGGGCAATATTGAGTGCTGATTCGTCAATGGCAGGGAATTCTGCATGCCCCCCTTGCTATTTCCATCTCCCACGGCATTTATCAATTCTTCAAGGAGTTGTCCATCAATTTGCCGGCCGGCGGCTTGCAGCGGAGCAGCATTGTCCGAGTATGAGCATTCTACTAGCTGACAAAATAGCGGCACAAATAGTGATCAAGTCTCGAAGAATCCCGTATGAGGGGGTTCGATGGGAACTGCGCTCAGGCACAGTCAAGGATGCCCTGACGTTTAGACACAGCCGGAGCCGTTCCCCGGATGACAAGTTACTGTTAGCACGAAGACAAAGACCCACTGAGCTAGATGGGATGGCAGCAGGGCCGTTGACTCGTGGTGGACTCGTGGCGGAGGAGGACTGCCTGTCATGTCTAATACGCCGGTTGCGCAACACTGACAATTTGACAAGGAGGCTGTTTATTGCAGATCGAATTGCGTCGATTTGAGAGGTTTGTGGCCATGAACAGTCTATAGATAAACGAGGTGCTCTCTGACCGTAAGAGTGAAGTTTGCTGAAGTCAGAGCTCGTGCCGAGACATTGTTTCTCCAGGATAAACTGGTGGGGACACCGTCACGGCGGTACGTAGTTTAAGAACCTCAAGACGGTTTGAGCCTATTGGATGGTAAAGTACAACAGCTCATCAATCTTCGGGATACTATCAAGACTACCATAGCCTCTCTGTCTGACTGTCGCTCTTCTATTGGAGATCTCAACGCAGGTACCACTCGTTATTCCGAGGATATCCACAGTCGTTGACACGGCTCACAAGGGTCCTATCCCCGGCGCCGCGCTTTTTGACCCCATGTGTTGGCCCACGGCCATGTAACCCTCGCGAGTCAAGACCGTACCCCTGGCCCATAACACTTCTAGCCAATGACGGACTAATAATTCGACAGGGCTGCTAGTTGATGTTCGGAACTTCCGTAATATCAGATATGGTGTAAACGCCATTCTCCTGGGACACAAGTCTCATGTCAAGATATCTAGCAAAACACCAGGGAAAAATCATGTATATTTAGGCCTGGAATAGGGAAAGGGGCAATCAACTGAGGATACACAGACAAGTTCAAGCCTAATTCCAAGGCGATGGCCACACAGGATGGCTCCAGTGCTGCAGCAGAAACATGGATGTGCTTTTAAGATGGTCGTGTCTGCCTTGCCATTACCCTGAGCTAATGATCTGCCGACATTATCTACGTGCATTAGCATTGGGGTTGGTCGTATTGGGCATCATTCTGGTGAACGAGGCCGACGCTTGACCATATCTGTAGTCTGGACTTTCGAAGAGCCGCATCGATGTCACACAGAAGTCTGCTAGCTTTCGATCAAATGCTATCAAGATAACACGTCCGTATCTGTAGAAGGGGATGCTTCACCAAGCGAGCGGCGAGCGGGACTTGCAACCGCCGTTAGTACTTCTCCTGAATATAGCGGCAAGCCCATTTCGGCAACTTATCGTAATGTGGAATAGTCCACAAGCTGTCTCAGCCTCTCTGCCTGACAGCTCGTTGATTACCTATGTACTCCGTACAAATACGTATCCGTGCAGCAGACAATTGACTGGTGCAAGAAGCTACTTTGAAATTGGCCGGGGATTCCAAGTCGCTGGCCCGGGCTTCTTATCGTCCGAACTGCTCGCGCTTCTTCGTCTCAATCATTACCTTCACCATCATGACCGGTTCCGTCAGCCATGTGTAACCAAACCACCCACTAGCTATTCACACGTATTTTTGGGTTTCCTAGGGCATGTGGTTTATGTTTCAGCGAGGGGAACAGATATGCACGTAAGCGCACCCTTTCCCATCACTTCCCACGAGCCGCCCATGCCTCTTTTGTCCAAGTCAAAGTCTCCGCGGTGACGGGGGAATGCGACATAAGTATGGAGGTACATACGTCTTCTGTCCGATTCCGGGACCCCGGTCACTCGCCCTTGCTAGGTTTATTCTGCAGCAGCTGCGATCTGCAAAGCTGAAAAGCAGGGCCCCTCGACAACCTATTCCCCAAGAGTCTTATCTGGGTTCGCTGCCTCAGACCTTGCCTACTCTACGGAGTACTCCACCTGGCATTACTCTTGAAGACGACGTTTCCCCTTCTTCTTTACTCCATGTCATTAGACTCGTCGTCTTCCTGCACCACGCGGGGTACCCAGTTGACATGATCCCAACGACATGTCCGAATTCTCGACAGAAGCTTTCGCGCTTCTTGGCGTGGCCATCGCCGTCATCTTCTTGAGGACCTATGCGAGAATCGTCGCTGTTGGCTTTAAGCGTCTGCAGGCAGATGACTACCTCATGCTGCTGATCATCGTCAGTCTCTCGACAGCTGGTGAATGGTATTAGTTGAGACACTAATGGAGATGCATAGTTCACATACTCAGCCGAAACTGCTTTAGCGTACAGCGTCGGAGCGCATTGGAAGGGACTCGCCAACAATGGCATGACGGACGAGGAGCGGAGAAATCTGGACCCAAACAGCGAAGAATATTCGACGAGGTAGGGTGATGAATGGTGTATCGTTTTGAGGGACATGGTCTAACATCATACTCACAGGGTCAACGGATCGAAGACACAAATCGCGGGATGGATTACTTACAGCTGCCTCGTCCTCTGGCCTGCAAAGGCTGCAATGTGCACATTTTACGTGCGACTAACAGTATGGAGCGCGCAAGAAACTAATCATGCGATTTCAAGCTAACGAGTCACTCAGGAAGGGTTGCATAACTTTCGCAAGCGAATCATCGCGGGGTTTGTTCTGATCGCGACAACATGGCTGGCAGTGTTCTTTTCCATCATCTTCAGCTGCTTTCCGATGAGCAAAAATTGGCAAATATACCCAGACCCTGGCAGTAAGTACCACATAACTCTCTTGAATGCCAATGACTAAAGGGTAGCCAGACTTTTGCCAGCCGGCCATTTCAAAGGTCAACATCATCGTCACCGTCTGTCTAAATGTCATCACAGATTTCTACCTGCTAAGCATACCGATACCGATGCTGTGGAGCGCCAGGCTACCCCTGAGACAAAAACTCGGCCTTATTGTGCTGTTTTCAGGAGGTATCTTTGTAACTATGGCCGGTATCCTACGCTGCGTGCTCATCATCACGGTACACCGATCTTCATGTTGTATATCCAAGTCTCGATAGCTGACTTGTGCGCATCGCAGAACCCCGTCACAGGCGCGCAGCAGGCAGGTTCGTGGGCCGTTCGCGAGACCTTTGTCGCAATCGTCACCACCAACATCCCGATGATCTTCCCCCTGCTCCGGCGCTGGCTTACACCCATCTTCGGATCCATCTCGAGTACCCTGTCACGAGGCGGCACCAACAATAAGTACGACAACGCTAAACGATCCGACCTACCGGCACCCGGGAGCATCATGCTTGGAAGTGTGACGGAGGGTAGCAGTAATAAGAAGAAGAATCGACCGCCATACACGCAGTATCCGATTACAGAGATCACCATGTCCGGGAGCGAGGAGCACCTGAACAAATCACCTCCTTTACCGGGAGGCATCAGCAAAAATGTGGAGATACATATTAAAGAGTCGAAAAGGACCACCGAGAGAGACACGTCGAGCACAGACAGTAATATTGAGGGCCGAGATGCATACTTTACGGTCGAGGTGAATGGGGTTGAAAGACCAAAAGCAACGAGGAGCAAGAGCTATCGAGAGAGCATGAGATCGACGTTCTCGGTGGGCGGTAATAGGAAAGACGACAGCATTGTATAAAATGCTATAATATCGAATTCATTCCGTCAGATCATAGCGACGCTCCGTTTTGTGATTTTTAGAATGCTAATGAGATGCCGGAGCGTTTGCTCGGAGGCAAAATAACTTGGGGTCGACCACCCCTTTTGCTGAGCATTGCATTGCCCACGATCGACAACGCCATTGTGAAGCAATGCGCTATGGTTCAACATGCTAGCGAGAGGAGATTTGACAAGGGAATGTGACTTAGATGAGCTGAATCGGTTCTACTTTCAGCTCTTCTTTCCAAACGTTACAGAAATGCTGCTTCACCTCTCCATCCAATATCGCCCTCCTGAACTACAATCAACCCGAGTTGCTTCCACTCCTAAACCATATTGCTCTACAGTCTATAGTAAAGAGGTATTAAACACACAATATCGGCTCTCTTCCACCCGCCATCTCAATACCAGCAATGGTTCTCGCGACAAAAAGCACAAAACCTCCCCTCCTCAACCACCACAATGCCACCATTCCGATCCAACAGGTTTCTACAGAAACACTCCCCGCAACGACACCGCTGAGGCTGCCACGGGAAGCTACACGTATCGACCCGCGGTGCCTGTGAAGCAGGAGGGGTGAGAACCCTGGCGAGAAGGTGCGGATTTCCCGCCTGCCGACTGAGGCGGAACGGCAAGGCGGGTAGATGAGCGGATACGGAGGGCGGAGGCGGCGATGGGGACGGGGCACGTTGTCGGCGCCGGGGCGGCGTTGGAGGTTGAGCTGTTGCGCTACGGTCGTTCATGTCCTCTGAAGATGGGGATAGGGATGGGGATGTGAAGGGGGATGTGAAGGGGGATGATCCGGGCGTTGAGCGGACGTAGTTGGGGACTTGGTTCCGGGGGTGGCGTCGGCGATCATGGAGTTCCGAGATGGAGTCGTCGTCGTCGCTAAAGGATGGGGATCGTAGGGTGAATGTCTCGGATACGGGAGTCGGTAGGGACGTCCAGGACGAGTCACTTGCCCACTGGGTTTCTGGGAAGACTGGCGAGGGCTGCTCGTCGTTCTCGATGCTTGGGATGATCTCGAACGGCGTGTCTGGACTTTGGTCCCTCTCGTGGCGCAGCCGGGCCCTGTGAGTGTCTCTCCATGGTGAGGGTAGGTAATGGGCTGGGAGACGGGCGCGTTGTGTGGCCTCCCAGTACGAGGGGCCGGGAGGCCAGTGGGTGTATGAGTGCGTGCTGTGACTGTGGTCGTCATCACTGTCCCTGTCACATCTTGGCGCTGCGTAGCCTAGGTAGTCACGTCGAGGATCTTCGAGCGTCTGCCGTTCTCCATAGTAAGTGGTTTGAGGATGGGGCAGGTTACCAAAGAAGGGCGGGCCCTGCGACGGAGGGAAAGGGCTGCGGGCAGGAGATGTAAGTTGAGGGTGACGGTAACGGCGGTGGGTATACATTGTGGCTCGGTTTGGCTGGTTCGAGGGAAGGAAAGAGAGGATCCAGCTTCGTGTAGTATCGCGAGAATTAGTCAGGACTATCGTGCTTGATATCTGGAGGACTGATAATTTGGTGGGAGGGCTAGACATCCTTCCTTTATATCATGATATCTGAGGAAAGCAATAGCCAGTGATTCACAACCAAGGAGGACTTCCATGAATCAGTGTTGTTCTACAATCAAGCTCGTGGTGATTAAAAGACTTCGCAAGCAGACTGATGAGTCGTTCCGGCCGGGAGCCCCGAATTTGGTTTGCTGGTGTCACGTCAGCCTGAGACTGCCTTGGTTTGCCGTATCGCCAAGGTATTGAATACACTGTAGGAGGCCCAGGTTTGGAAAGTGTTTGCAACTTATGGTTAGTCATGTGTGTCAGATTTGGCCTTACTGCTTGATGAATAAGATAGTGCCCGCTTTGATGACAGATAGAAATGGGCCTCAGGCATGTGGCAGACTAGAAAGGACGAGAAATGCCAATGACTTCTAGCTTTATTATACCTCTATAAGAGGCTCGAATCGAATCGAAATAGATAGCCGAACCAAGAGGACAGACCATTCCAAGGGATACGGTGAAGATTGTGATGCGGGGGCGTCCTTCTTTATAGGAATTCACAGGGGAGAGCATCTCACTAATCTCACATTGCCGGCTTAGAGAAAGCAAGAAACAGACCAACAATGGTCTAAAGCCGCACAAACCATAGGCTGTTTTCTATCCTCGTTCGTTCGTCACGTATTCGTCCCAATAACAATTCATTATAATGAGAAATTACTAAGTATTATAGACTGGTCCTTGTTCTCCTTTTTAATATCCTTTCCGTTCTCCTTGTCGTTCTCCTATTCCTTCGCTCACTGCGTATTTGTTGTAGTAGTAATTTATAATAATCTCTAAAAGTAGTGAATTACTATAAAGTGGTTCTTATACTCGTGCATTACTCACATATTCGTCTCTATAATAGCTCACGACAATCAAAAGCAAGTAATGTCAACGATAAGCCAGCACATCATTCACTGCCTCAACCTCTACACTTCCGATGCCGAGAGCCCCCATGGCTCTAACGGCTCCGATGGCCCCGATGGATCCTGCCACGATGAGAGCGACCCTGAGCTGTTTGTAATGCAGGACTTTGCGCCAGCACCGAATCTCACCACGAAACCACGGACTTAAATACCGATAGCTTTCCCTCCACCCCACCCCCATCACGGAGCGACCGTCTCGGGCGGGCCCCACCAACGCCGTCACCCCCGGCTGCGCCTCTGCCCCACATCGGCAGACGACCACGGCCCCCCGAGACGAGGGAAGTGTCTCGGCCCTTACTCCGCGAACATGACGTCAGCGTCTACTCTTCGGATTTTGCGCTCTCGGGCTCTGTCCAAACGTCAGATTGGGTTCATCGCAGTCTCCTAAAAGAATGTTACATAGTTTCCGGTCTGAAATATCAGCCGGCATATCCGCAATGTTGAGCGTTTGTCGCCAAACACCGCTCTCATTATCTGCAAGCCCAATCTCGTCACCTGTAGTCGCTTCTTACTCATCATTCACTTAATAGCACGCAATATTTATTTAATAATAAAATTGAAATCTACCGAAAGGCCTTATTCATTCCCCTCAAGTATGTGCACAGAATAGACAATACAATTACCACAAACCTCGGCCGTTCAGTAAGACGTCTCTTTTGCTCGTTTTCATCCGAGCATGTCAAAACCCATGCAGGTATCGCTGTCATGATGCATATAACCACACCCAATGCAATGCTATGCTTCTTTCACAGTCTATGCCGTCCTCGTTACCCTCCCGTCTACTTGCGTCCTCTCGGCACCGTGCTCTCTGCAAATCGGATGCCTCTCCTCGTCGGGGGAACTCTCTCTCCACCTTCGTCATCCGAATCATCATCCTGATTTGAGCCGAGTGCAGCCTCCCTACGGCGTCTCTCGGCAGGTGTCTCTCCGCTGTCCAAGTCCTCATCGCTCTGGTTTGAGAGAACCGCCAATCTGCGCTTCTTCTCAGCAGCCGTCTCCTCGTCACCTTCGGCATCTACTTGTTGCGCAGGCGCAGGTGGCAAGGCGGGCGCTGTGTTCACCCGCTGAGGGGTGAAGGAGCCAGAGCGTTTCTCGTTGGAATCGCTTCCAATCTTGATGGTCGGGATGTTGGCATATCTGTCAGCCGGCGAAGGGATATCTCCCTTTGCAATTGACTTTACGCGCTGAGAAGCAGTGGACTGGTCCACAACCTGTCGCCGGGTTTTGTCGTCAAGCTTTTGTACTTCACGGATGAAGTCCTCCTTCGTCATGCGCTGGCCGACTCCACCAATCGTAAATCTGATGTGTCGGTCATCCTCCTTTTGGCCTTCCGCAGCGTTCTTCGCGTTACCAGCACCTCCGCCCAGGTACTTCTGCCACCCTGACTTAGCAGGTGTCTTCGCGGCGCCGTCGGCGCTTGACTCTCCGTTGTTTTCGACTTCAGCCGCAGGCTTCTCTGATGCCTTTAGAAGACCACCCATGCCAAGATACTTAAGACTTTGCTGGGTAAGGCCTGTTCCGGGTTCCTTGGGGGCCTTTGACGACGGCAGCTCGTAAGTCTTGATAACTTCTCCATCCTCGTCTTCAACGATAATCTATGCACTTGTTAATTTCTTGTTCCGTACATCACCAATCTGGAGAAACTCACAGTATTACCGAACTGGAACGCTCGAGCTGGCTCATGCCGTCTGTCGGACTTGCTCTTCTCCTTGCGCTTCTCCACTTCTGATGTGTACACATCTCCAACCTTCTTTTTGAACGAGTCCAGGGTCCAGTTGAACTTTTCGCCTTGCTTTGATTGAGCAGCCGCAATAGCCGACATGTCGGTTTCGACTGGTACCCGATGATGAGCTTCAGCCTCCGCAACTGCCTCTGCTCTGCTTTCAGAGCGCTCGACAGTCAGTACGTCTCCATCCTCATTCTCGACCACCAAGTTGTCTCCTTCTTCATAGATGGAGATCTTGGGTGGCGTTTGCGTTCGGCTAGATCCCTCATCGGGGGATGGCGTGATTTCGTCGTCGTCCTTCTCCGGGTCTCTCGCGCGACCTCTTTCAGAATCGCGCCTAGGGGTCGTAGTGCCTTCGGCGTCGGGTGATTGGGGATCCTTCTCGTTGAGGAGCGGCTCGCGTTTGGTGGGGAAGATGGCAGATTGGGAAACAGGTCCGCCGGGTCCGATACCATCGTCCCACTTGTTCTTCTTGCTGCTGCGTTTCCTTGAGGTTGATCGAGCGCGAGATTTCGATCCATCTTCGTCTTTTTGACGTCTCAAGAAAGCGCCAGGGAAGCCTACTGGGGGCAGAGTGCCAGGCGGGAACTCGGGCATCTTCAGCTCCTCGCCTTCGGTGTCGGACATGGTTCGGGCTTGCGATCGAGACTGCGACGAGATTCTCGGCAGGCGATTCATCCAGGTAGGGCCGTCTTCGGGGGCGGTGGTGTAGGACATGGTGATTGTCAACGTGTTGATGCGCTTGCCGAGAGTGAACACGGCGACGGATGAGCCGTGAACAATGATGGACGAAATGACCAGGAATGTC